TGCAGGTTTAGGAAGAAAGGTTGTTTTTTTTTTTGTTGTTTTTTTGGGTTTTTTTTTTTTTTGTCCTGAGAACTGAAAATCTGGTATAGATCAGGCGCTTTTCCAAAGCCATGCCCCAGGTCCCCTTCTGCCCCTTGGTGACCATATAGGAGTCCTTTTTCTTTAAGGTAGGTTATCACCTCTCCAGGCTGTGCTAATAATCAACCAGAGTTAAGTGTCGCAGGAGTGGAACAGAATAGTCCAAGGACGTCATTGCCCTTCTTCGGTTGCTAGGCAACACCTCCTTCGCAGAGATGGACAAAACAGGTTGGAGGAGATACCAGAAAAGAAGCCTTCGTGTCCCAGGCCAGCCCCATGGTCCCCTGGAAGGAGACAAGACAGGGGAGCCTCTCTCGGGGCCACCCACTCAAGAGGCATTGTTGCCCTCTCTTCTCCCGCGTCCTCGATTCAATGGAACGGACCTCGAAGCCCCTGGGTGTGGCCGGTGTGTGTTACCAGGAGCGGTCCCTGGAGGCGTTCCTCTGCCTCCTCATCCGCTATCACCTCATCACTGCACTGCCCAGTGTGTGTGCGGTCGGGGGTGGCTTACGGGCTCCATCAGTTTACTGGACGCCAATTTCAGAAACGTTGCTCGACCCCAGGAAGGCTCAGATCCCGAGTCAGTGACGGTAGGTCTCAAATGCCTGCAGCAGCTGGCAGCTGGGTGGGACGCTTTGCAGCAACCCCCACCCCCCAGGCTTGTACAGTCCATTCATGGCACCACCTCAGAAGAAGAGCCCCCAGAGCTGGGGGCAGTGCTGGAGATGGGAGACGTGACCAGCTTCTGATCGGCAGCTCTGCTGAGCACTGACTGCAGCCTTCGGCATGTTCCTAGCATGTTCCCTTTTCTAAAAAAAAAAAAAAAAAAAAAAAAAGGATATTTTGCCCTGGCAGGTGTGGCTCAGTGGACTGAGTGCTGCCCTGCCAATGAAAGGGTCACTGGTTCGATTCCCAGTCAGGGCACAAGCCTGGGTTGCAGGCCAGGTCCCCAGTAGGGGTGCGTGAGAGGCAACCACACACTGATAGTTCCTTCCCTCCTTTTCTCCTTCCCTTACCCTCTCTCTAAACATAAAGACAGAAAATCTTTTTTAAAAAGTACATTAAAAAATTTTTTTAAATGGATATTTTCTCCTGGAAATCAGCATAACAGAAATGTTTGCACCAAGATAGATGTAAATGTGTTTATGATAACACTATGATAGCAACAACAGAAAGAGAGACAAGATGAAGACTATTAATAGAGGAATAATGTTATTTTGGCATATTTATATAATCAAATACTACACGGGGGCATTAAAAAGAAAGGAGTAGAGCTTGGCTGGGTGGCTCAGTTGGTTGGAGTGTCGTCCCATGTACCAAAATGTTTTGGGTTCCATCCCTGGTCAGGACACATACTTAGACCGTAGGTTTGATCCTTGTTGGGTGCATGTGAGGGGCAACCAATCAATATCTCTCTCTCATATTGATGTTTCTCCCCCCCGCTTTCTAAAAGCAATAAATATATTCTCAGGTGAGGATTTTTAAAAAAGAAGAAGAATGGTATAGATAGATCTATGTGTGTGGACACGGGAAGAAGTCCTTGATATTTTATGAAAAGGGGCAAATTAGGCATAAGTGCATTATAAAAACCTATGTGTGGGTAGGCATGTGTGTCTATTATACTTATATAATGTATATACTATGAACATTTGTACAAGATTGAACCATTAAGCTATGAACAGTGCTAATCTAATCTATTTAATTTATTCTGGTTGTCTAAAAAACGACACATTGTTGATGTGTCCAGATTGGACGGAGCCCCAACGTGGCTTGCACCCAGCATGTGGGTGATGCTTCCCTTAGGCCCCTACTGATGGGCTGCTCTTCTTGCCGCATTCACTTGTTGCGGAAGTCTGATGATGTGTCCTGGGTGCTCCCTGCATGCTGGATTAGGTGGCTTGTGTCCCTAAGGTGTTACTTAAAATGTCCCTCCTCTCGTATATTTCCTGTAAAGTGGGAGAAGGTCTGCAGTCCGGCTGGCATGTTGGTTCCGCCCTCGACAGGACCGCTTCCCAGGAAGTGTCGTGCGTGGCCCCGGAAGCATATCCAGAGGCCAGCGGCGTCCGGCTGCCTCGGTTTGGGGCATTGAGCTTGGTCCCTGGATCAGGTGTTGACAGTCTGATACCCTGAGCCTTTCAGCCTCGGTTTCAGCCACCACATAGAATCGCACCTTAGATTCACGACGTCACTGGGTCTGGAAAAGGGCGATTGTGTAAGTATGTCATTCCTTCTACAGTTTTTGGCTAAAATCGTTCTACAAAAAATAACTTCAATGCATATTTGGTTGCCTAAAATACGGCTTTTATAGGAAAGGTCAGATACACGCTTCAGTCTGTCCTTTTATTCTGTCCTTTGTATCAGTTTTCAATATAATTTTTGGTATCCTGGTAACCTCTATTGATCTCCAATTATACACACAGATGCATATAATATGTGTGTGTCTATATAGAGAGAGGTGTTATTATATATATTTTATGTATATGTATATATACACACATATGTATGTATTGTATCTGTGTATATATATTTTATGTATATATATATGTATGTATTTTGTGTGTGTGTATGTATAAAACTGCGTATCTTTAAGCACTTAAGGAGTTTTATGTATTTGGTGTGTTTCAGTCTGTAGCTGGAGCTGTACTTTTGGAGGATGAAGTTATTCCTTCAGCAGAGCTCAGAGGGCGCCCCTGCAACTTGCCTCCCGTGTCCTTTTCACCTACTCTCCGTCGTCTTTGACAGCTTCTTCGCTTTGAGGGTCAAAGTGTCCCAGATTCGTCATCTTGCTTATTCCGTTTCCTGGCAAGTTACCATTCCTCCAAGGAGCACCAGGTCCTTGTTTGTGGGAAATGAGATTTAGTGACCACTATCCGGGGTCCCGGGGCTCCACTCATCGCTAAGGGGTGGTCATTGCTTTGGGGTCCTTTGCTGCAGTTGGAGGTCCCCAGGTATTGGTGTGCAAGGCGGGAGGCGATCTGGAGAGCAAGAGAGCAGGGCTGGGCTCAGGAGGAGGGGGCCGCGAGGCAGCCGCAGTGACCCCCCGGGAGCTGCCCTGGCTGGGTGCGGCGGACCAGGCACGTGTAGCCCTAGACCACTCAGGCGTTAGACGTGAGCTGTCCGGACACACTTCCCAGGCAGGGATGGCAGGTGGTAGCTCTCAACTGCCTTCTGACTTTTCAGCTTCTCTCTTCAGCTGTGTCTATCATTCTGTTGGACTCATCCACTGAGTTTTTAATGTTCATGACTTGATTTTTATTTCTAGAAGTTCTATATGTTTCCCTCAAGTCAGTTCCTTCCTTCTCTTTCAATAGACTCTCATTTTATGTTCATATTTGCAACTTTCTTTTATATCTTTAAATATATTAACTTGTTCTTTTTAATGGTCACCATGGCATACATACATCTCCAGGACTCACTCATTTTATAACTGGGAGTCTCTCTTGGCTGCCTTCACCCATTTCCCCCCTCCCCCACCTCCTCTGACAACCCCCAGTCTGTTCTCTGCATCTGTGAGTATGGTTTATTTTTCGCTTACACATAAATGTAAGTGGAGGATGGAAAACAGGCCTGGCCCCAAGGCTGTTTTCTGCCTGACTTATTTCTCTGCCTGACTTATTCTAGTTATTCTAGAGTTTTCATCCGATTACTGCAACATCTGGGTCATTTTGAGTCCAATTGCATTGATTGTTTTGCCTCTCAAAAACGGATTATCCCCTGCCTTTTTTGTATACCTTCCAAGGTCTGGCTGAGTATCAGATACCATGTAGTAATTGAAATGGATGCGACAGCGCTTCCTCCTGGATATGGATGCACCTCCTCTCTGCCAGGTCACCAGTGCGTGCGTGGGGGAGGTTTAAATCAACCTTCTCAGGTGTGGACCTTGGTTTGGGTTCTGTTTTTATTGTGAAGAACACTGGGGACACCAAAGTCTTCAGATTCCTTCACGGCGACCTTCCAGCACCTTGTGTGCAGGGCAAGAACTGAGGAGGGGCCGTGATCTCGCCCTGCCCTCAGTTTCCAGCTGCCCCTGGGGCCTGGCACATGGAGGGGTCCCCTGTGCATGTCCGCCTTTCCCCAGTGGAGAGGGGTGTTGTGCACGTAGCGGTGGTGCTGGCCGGGCTGAGTCGAGGGCAGGAGGGCTCGCTGTCATCCTGGCCCGGTGTCGTCAGCCTGGAGCAGCCATGGGCCCCGGGGCTCGGAGGGCGAGGCTTTCTCACACTCCCTGCCAGTCCCGCCGGGGCAGCCCGACTCCGCTTTGCGTGTGTGGGGGTCACTGTGAGTCTCCAGCCGCCCTGTTGTCAGGATCCCTCAGGGTACCAGGGACCCTGGGGCCAGGCCTGTTTTCCGTCCTCCACTCAGCCGAAGGGAAGTTTTTCCTCTGCCCTTTCCCACCTACACCGTCTTGGGTGGCAGACGTGGGGACGGCGCCTTCCCCCACCCCTCCATCCACCACGGGCCCCCACCTTCAGCTGGGCTTTCCGGAGAGGGAGCTCTTTGAGGAGGGGTTGCTGTGCTGAGGAAGGCATCCACCTCCAGGGGGAGAACTTCAAAACTACATGAAGGTAAAGCAGAGGGACGAGCTGCACTGAGAAAGCACGGTTCAGTAGCCTCACCGGGGCGAGGTTTCCAGGAGGCAGAGGAGGACCCTGAGCACCAGGGCTTCCCCGAGGGGGTGCACAGGGTCGCATGGGATCCAGGTCACCCTGCCACACTCCCGTCCCGGAGTTCAGGGGCCTCATTGAACACGTTTTTCATCTGCCACGCGTACAAACTGGAGGCCCGCTGAGGACTCAGGGTGGGAGAGGGGCAGGTGTGGCCCCTTCCGCAGGGGGAGCAGCTGGGCAGGAGGCTCGCGATCAGCAGCAGGAAGGGGTGCCCTGGGAGACGGGTCTGCAGACCAGGGTGGGGCAGGAGGGCTGGACTCACCCAGAGGGCTGGCCGGAGGAGGCCACGCACACGGCGGGCTTGCAGTTCATGGGCGGGCACACGGAGGGCTGGCAAGAGGGCGCCATGCACACAGTGGGTGTGCAGCTCATGGGCACGCAGCAGGTGATCTGGCCGCTCACAGGCACATACACAGCTGGCTTGCAGTTCACGGGCGGGCACACGGAGGACTGGCAGGAGGGGGCCGTGCACATGGTGGGCTTGCAGCTCACAGTCGGGCACACGGAGGACTGGCAAGAGGGCGCCATGCACACAGTGGGTGTGCAGCTCATGGGCACGCAGCAGGTGATCTGGCCGCTCACAGGCACATACACAGCTGGCTTGCAGCTCACAGGCAGGCACACGGAGGACTGGCAGGGGCTGGGCGAGCAGCAGCCAGCCTGGCAGCCAGCGGAGCAGCTGGTGTGGCACATGCTGCCGTGGGCCTGGCCGGTGTGGGAGTGGAGGGCGGCGGTGACTGCACGGCCCTTCCCTGGCGGCCTTTCTCCCCGGGCCGCGGCCGTCCCAGCACGACTGTTGCTCCCCGCGGCTGTGTGCGCGTTTCCCCAGCATCCGCCTTCCTGGGACGCGCTGCCCTGTGTTAGGCCCCCGTGTGTAAGCTTGGCTTTGAGGCCCGGCTCTCCTTCTGTAAACAGGGTGATCTGGTTTGACGACGTGGGCCTCGCAGGGTTTCCCCAGGCCACTGTCGCACACAGAGCACCTCTGGCTCATCTCAGGGTGCTGCTGTGTCCTCTCAGTCGTTTCTGTCTCGTGCCATCAACGAAGACCTGAGGCAATAATGTAGGCTGGACTTGTATTCGGCTCGGGAAACGTTAAAGCAGGAGCCTGCAAACCGAAGTCTGCCGTAGGGATCTGGCCTGCGGCCCATTTGTTAATGGATATCTCACCGGCGGCAGCCTCGCCTGTCTCTGCAGATGCCTAGGGCTGCTTGTACACGAGCTCGCTGAGACCTTGTGGGAGGGACAGTGTGACAGCGAAACCTGAAGTGCTTGTTTATGCAACAAATGGTATGTTCCGTGTGCCGGCCCTGGAGACGTGCTTGCCCCGTGAACCTTCCAGGATGGGGAATAAATGAGTGGATGGAGATGCCTTCCGTTCCTGGTCCCGTCGGCCTGGCCTTTGCTGGTCTCCTGCTCCTATGGTCCTCCTTGGTCTGTTCCTGATGAGGGAATAAGGGAGAAGTAGGGCACCCAGTGTTGCCTGGTCAGTCTAATGGATGTCTTGGCTAGTGGTCCACTGAGACTGCAGGCTCATCCTCCTCTACAATCCTGAGGGTTTGCACACAGCTGTCTGTGCCTCCTCAATGAGGCCTTGAAACCTCAGTAGAGTGATGTCTAGAATGAGCTTTGCGCTCCTCTTGGGGCCCACAGGGTCCTCTTGACGCTCAGGGCGTCGGCCCCTGTGCCGAGACCAGCATGCAAGTGCTCCTCTCTGCGAGCACCTCTCTCCCAGGGAAGCGAGGCCCATGCTTGGTGCTGGTCTGCCAGTCCTGGCCAGCAGGATTTCTGCTGCTCCTCGACTCACCCCGAACCTGGATGGGCAAGGGGCCGGGTGTGGGCAAGACCCACGTCCCCTTGGGGTCCCTGCCTCCGGCACCTGCGCCCGCTTCCTTGGAGGGCTGTCCACTGCGGGGAGGGTGGGCCACTGGGGTCGGGAAGGGAGACGAGTATGCAGATGGCATCGCTCTCAGATCTTGTTGCTCGGCTGCTCTGACCTCGGATTTGAGAACATGTCTTTATGGTCTGGCTTCCGCCACATGGAGCACCCACAGCCCAGGTTGGAGTCTCAGGAGCTCAGGGGAAGAAGGGAAACCAAACACACATTTCCTGGCACAAGCATTTTATTGATTATAACAATTAGCCGTCGTCACATAGAAAACAAGTAGCCAGCCCTGCAGAGGAGAGTCCAGGGGCCTGCACTCCACCCTGGTGAGGGATTTGTGGGTCCTCTTTTCTCAAAAAGGTGCAGGTGGCATGTTTAATCTGCACTAGGCAGCACCTGTGTGTCCGCCGATGGGAGAGGGGAGGTCCAGGCATGAGCAGAGGGGCCGCAGGGGCTCCGGGGAGAGGAGGACTGTGCTCAGGAGCGGGGGCAGCAGCTCAGGGTCAAGCTGGTCAGCAGCAGGATGTCTGGGCCGAGGCTGGGATGCAGCAGGCCGGGCGGGAGCAGGTTGGGGCGGCAGATGAGGGACACGCAGGAGGCCGGGCGGCAGCAGCTGGGCTGGCAGCAGGAGGGGCCACAGCAGGAGGAGACGGGCACGCAGCAGGCGGGTCTGCACACGGGGCGGCAGATGAGGGACACGCAGGAGGAGGGCCCGCAGCAGGCCGAGGGGCAGGGGGTGGGTAGGCAGCATGAGGAGGCGGCCCCAGAGCAGACGGGCACACAGCATGCGGGCCTGCAGCAGATGGGCGTGCAGCATATGGGCCTGCAGCACACGGGCGTGCAGCACACGGGCCTGCAGCAGACAGGTGTGCAGCATATGGGCCTGCAGCACACGGGTCTGCAGCAGATGGGTGTGCAGCATGCGGGCCTGCAGCAGACGGGCGTGCAGCACGCGGGCCTGCAGCAGACGGGTGTGCAGCACGCGGGCCTGCAGCAGACAGATGTGCAGCAGACAGGCTTACAGCAGAGGGGTGTGCAGCAGGTGGAGGGGCAGCAGCTGGGGGCGCAGCAGGAGGGCTCACAGCAGCTCTCTGGACAGTCGTCCACCTGCCAGGGGGCGTCGGTGCAAGAGTCACTGGAACCGGGCAGGCAGACGCGGCTGCCGTAGCTCAGGTTGCTGGAGCGGACGGACCGGGTGGAGGCGGCCATGGCGGGGCGGTGAGGCTGAGGTGAGCTGGGAGGAGGGTGCGAGTGGGAAGGTGAGTGAGTGCGGGGGGTGCTGGGGGTGCGCAGCTTTTATCCCCCCCGCCCCGGGTGTGCGTGCCGCCCCAGTAGGCGGCTCACACGCCCTCCCTTCCTTGTTGGTGTTTGGACTGGTTGTGGGAAAGCCCTCATTAGTGCCGGTTTATTTTCTATAATTAGTTTTTACTCATTAAACTCGTGAGTCTGGTGCAGGACTCTGTTTCCCTGTCTGTTCTTTTTTTGGCTTCCGAAAGCTTGTGAAAAATATGTGGCAAGTGTTTGCTGAGTGGCTGCCATGGGTTCTGATCCTGGAGGGACCGGGTGTGAGACAAATTAATTCACGGCCACTAACAGCCCCGCGCCGTGCCAGCTGCGCCCGTGTGGGGACGTGGTCCGAGAGATGTCCGGCCACCATCATGGCGGCCATCATGTACCTGAGAGGGCTGTTCAGAGGGTCCGATGTGAGAGAGATAGTAAAATTTGACAAAACCCACAAACAACGCACGTCCCCTGGGGGCCCGAGGTCAGGGCTGCGTCGTCCTTCACTTTCCCTGGTCAATCCGTTGTCAGTGTCATTTCAGTCAAAACCCAAAGGGAATATTTTTGCTGTACAAAAGGAAGATCTTGAACTGCCAGAAAATATTTGCCACATGCATGATAGAGAGGTTAGTATGAACATTAAGAAGTCCTTACAACCAAAACAGGGTAAGATACAAAACAATCAAGTACAAAATTCAAATCATTCGAATGTTCAATAACCATGGGCATATCTATTCGATCTCAATAACAATTGAAGTCTCTCAGATGAAAGCGCAGGCGTCCCACCTGTAAGATCAGCCGTGATTGACAGCGCGGACCTCGGCCAGGGCTGCTGAGCGTGGGGGCCTCGCTCTCGGCCGCCCTTAGCGGCAGCTGCCGTGCGTGTGTGGCGACACACGGTATGGTAGTTACCATTTCCACCACTTTGAAGTGTGTCCTCCGTGGCATTTAGTACAGTCACAGTGGGGTGCCACGTTGACCCCTCTCTAGTTCCAGAACATTCTCACCACTACAGAGGAAATCCTGTACCAGTAAGCAGTCCCTTCCTGCGCCTGTCAGTCGCCGCTCTGCTTTCTGTCTCTATGGATTTGCCCATTCTGCACACTTCCTCTTAAAGAAATCACACCATATGTGGCCTTTGGTGCCTGGCTCATTTCACTGAGCATAAAGTATTCAAGGTTCATCGCATTGTAGCGCATGTCAGCGCTTTGTTCCTTTTTATGTGTCAGTAATACTCCATTGTGTGGATGGACCACATTTTGTTTATCCCTTCATCCAACAGTTGATGGAGATTTGAGTTGTTTCTACCTTTTGGCTAATGTGAATAATTATACTATAAATATTTTTGTACAAACTATGGTTTAAACACCTCTTTTTCAGTTCTCTTGGAATATCATCCCGGAGTGGAATTGCTGGGTCATATGGTGACTCTATGTTTAACTTTTGAGAAAGTGCCAGACTGTTTTCTACGGCAGCTATATCGTTTTACATTTTCAGCAGCATTATACAAGGGTTCCAATTTCTCCACATGCTCGCTGACATGTTATCTGATTATTATGATTATAGCCACCCTAGTGAGTGTGAAGGGGTATCTTGTTGTGGTTTTGATTTGCATTTCCGTTATAACCAATGATACTGGGATTCCTTTCATGTGCTTGCTGGCGATTTGTATATCTTCTTTGAATAAATGTCTGTCAAAATGCTTTGCCCATTTTTAATTGGGTTGTTCCTCTTTTTGTTGTTGAGTTATAAGTGTACTTTATATATTCTGAATATTACTGTGATTTGCACATATTTTCTCCCATTCTGTGGATTGTGTTTTCATTTTCTTGATGGTGTCCTTTGATACAGAAAACTTCTTGATATTTATGAATCTAATTTATCTATATATTTTTGATTGTGCTTTTGGTGTCACATATAGAAACCATTGCCAAATCCAAGGTCATGCAGATTTACCCCTCTGTTTTCTTCTAAGAGTTTTATAGCTTTAGCTCTTATAGTTAGGTCTGTGATCCATTTTGAGTTAACCATTATATATGGTGTAAGAGGGGGTTCATCTTCATTCTTTGCATATGAATATCCAGTTGTCCCAGCACTATTTGTTGAAGAGACTATTCTTTCCCCACTTGATACCCTTGTTGAAAATCAGTTGACCACAGATGTATAAGTTTATTTCTAGACTCTCAATTTTATTCCCTTGTTCTATATGTCTCTTTATGAGCAGTCCACTGTTTAGATTACTGTAGCTTTGTGGTAAGTTTCACTTCTCCTTTTCACTTGGATGTCTTTTATTTCTTTTTCTTGCTTAACTTATCAGGCTAGGACTTCTAATACAATGTTTAATAGAAGCGGTGGAAGTAGCCATTCTTGTCTTGTTCCTGATCTTGGGAGAAAGCTTTCAGTCTTTCACCATTGAGCATGGTGTTGGTTGTGGTTTTTTCATAATGTCCTCAATGGGGTTGGGGAAGTTCTCTTCTAGTCTTAGTTTGTTGAGTGTTTTTACCATGAAAGATGTTGACTTTTGTCAGGTGCTTTTCCTGCATCATTTGAAATGATCCTGTGTTTTTATTTCCTCCTTAATTCTATCAACAGGGTGCGTTACATTGACTGTTTTCCATATTTTTCACTCTGGCATTCCTGAGATAGATTCCACTTGGTTGTGGTGTACAACGCTTTTACTATGCTGCAGGAAGTGGTCTGACTGCGTCAACATCTCCAGGTTCTGAGTAGTGGCCCTTCCATGGGAGGTGCCACAGGTTCCACGGAGCCCTTTTCCCACCGTTGATACTCCCAACACCATGTGGTCTACTGGCCCCACTAGGGACAACTTGCCCTAGAACCTGAACGTGCTGCTGACTCCTTTCTTACCTTAGGCTGACTTGCCATCGCCTGGTATGTGGGTCAAAGTGTGTTCCCAAATGTAGAATCTGTGTTACCTTCGGAACACAAAGATGCTTGTCAGGCAACGTGCCTCCTTCTTCCGGGTGTTGCCCACAAAGCATAGAACTTTTTCCTCTACTTTGGAGAGAATGTTGCAGCATACCCCAGACTAGTTTTAGCAATCTAACTCGCGTGGCAGGCCTCTGAATCTTTGTAGGGCCTATCTCCGACCTTCTGGAGCACACGTGTCCTATCAAGGCCTCCAATACACTTGCCATTTCTTGCTCATGAGGGTTCAATAGCATGAGGTCATTGCTATAGTGGACGCCTGTGATGTCCTGGAGACTCAGATCTCATTTTGAGTACGTTATGTCTGAGGATGGGACAAAGCCATAAATGCAGACCTTTTGTTTGACAGGAACGCGAACTCTTTATGAGCCCCTTCCGTGACAGGGAGGAGAAGCGTGTCTTCACCACGTCCCGGGGGAGTGTCGGGTCCCCTGCTCCAGAAAACACAGCTCATCCGCCACAGCGGCTGCCGCGGGGACACTACGTGGCTGAGTCTGCGTCCGGTCTCCTCCAAGGCACGTCAGGTTTTCCCAGGGGCCAGGCTGCAGATATTATGAGGACACCTGCCCCCCCAACATACACACACGTCCTTTAGGCCTTTAAGGTGGCACCAGTTGCTGCCATTGCCCGCAGGGGGCATCGCTGTTTTGAATCACTACCTTGACTTGGGTCAGGGTTGGGGGGTGGGGAGGTGGGGGTGGGAGAGGAGTTTCAGAGCTTCAACCCCACCTCCCTCAGTATGACTCCTCCTTCCTCAAAGCCCAGTAATGAATGGTAGGAGGCGCATCAATGACCAAGGACGTCCAGTTCAATTATACATCCAGGGACCCAGGAATGGCCACTGGGTTTGTCTGTGGGCCCAGAGGAGTCACTGGGAGCTGGATGTAGCCAGGACTCCACTTGCTACCCGCCCTCCCTACGTCTCATTTTGACAGGGAGCCCATAATGAGGTTTCAGCGCTCCAGCGTCCATCTCAATTTTCAGGGCTCAACAGCCCTGAAAGTGCTAGGGCGTCCCCTTTCCTGGTGCGCTGTTGTGTGCATGGACTCCGGAACGGGGAGGGACCGGGCGGGGCATTGCTATGCACGCTCGTCCTGATTGCAGGGTCCTTCCTTCTGGGGTTTACAATTTACACCAAGGAAACTGGCCAACACCATAAATCACGAGCTTTCTTTGGAAGGCTAGCACATCACTCGCACACTCTTCAAAATCAGCCAAAGACAAAAACAGAAATCAAATGTGGGTGGTCCGAAGGGGGAGGGCAATCACCGCGGTAGAAAGTCTTGATCCCTTGCCCACTTCTTGGGTCGGAGGCAGTCCTCAGACTGGAACACCTGGATTGCACCCAGTATAAAGTACCAATGGTTTAACAACCATTAACTACTACTCAGGCTAGTACAAGTCAGCTCCGGGGAGCTCCCGCACACCGCCGTCCGGCCTCTGATTGGCTGTCCACAGTCCCGCCCACCTCCCCGGGCACTCCGCGTTCCGAAAACCACCTCCTGCGGCTCCCCGCCAGGCCCCTTCACCGAGGTCTGGCTGGCAGCCCGGTGCCTCCCTTGTTCCCTTATTTCCCTGATGGTAATGCTTTATTAAGCTTTGGTTTCGCTTTCCATTGTTGTTGTTTTTTTAAAATATAACCAAAAATAGATGTGTATTCTTCCCCTTTCTTACACAAAGAGTGGCCTATGATACACACTGATCTGCACCTTGCATTTCACACGTGCCGGCACAGCCTGGCGATCACGCTGCGGCGTCCCCGAGACCTCCCGCTCCTTTCCGCAGCGGCACAGCGCTCCGTGCACGACCGCGGCTGGCTTAGGCCGCCAGTTTCCTGCTGAGGTTCAGTCGCTTTCCCCTCGGGACTTACCTGTTCTGAAGAAAGCAGCAAGGGGTGGGTGTCACTGACAGACAGCAGTGAATAATTTGACAGTGTGTCTTTGAGATAAATTCCTAGAATTCATTATTATTATTTATTT